TGTTCGAAAGGCTATGGAAAAGAGCAATGAAGAACTATTTACAGCGTCAATTGTGACAGGAGGCGCAATACCAGCAAGTCCTGGCGCTCCAGGCTTTCCGGGTGCTCCCGGTTCACCATCAAGCCCCTTAAATAAAGAACATTAACAATATTATTTCTAGGAGGACAGAGGAACTTACTGGTTTTCCAGGTGGTCCAGGTGGTCCTGGAGGGCAAGCGTTGTTAACATCGCAGTCTAGAAAATTTTACTAATTATCGCAACTGTATTATAAGACTTTTTATATCTTGACTCACTGCAAACGGCTTGATCAACGAATGCATCCTCCTTCACATAGGATGTCGGCAATGAATATGTGGTCTTTTTTGGTGGTGGAGGCGGCGCACCATAAGCCTAGTTGATTTATCTTTATTAGATTCTTCTATTAGAAGAAGTCAAGCATCTAGTCCCTCTGACACTAATGTCATAGTTCTACCATAATTTTGTCATTCTAATGGTTTTAACGACAGAAGAATTATGTTTGGGAAATCCAACTGGCTTCTTCAAGGAGGCTTAGGAAAAGATTATTCCGTTTCACATTCTGGGAGTCTCTTAAATGGGATTAACATAAGATTGCAAGGCATCTAAGTTGTTAGGAAACTCCTAAGACTGCAACGTAAATTCCATCAGAGACTTATTAAAAGATCCCCAAAACATTTTCTCACCTGTCTTCTGATCCTTCCCGCATCACTCAGTCGTGCTTTTGACAGCTCCGTCCATGTCATATCGGCTATGACGCGGAACTCGTCGGAATCAACGCGAAGCTGAAATGTCAAAATATATTTGTCAGATGACGCTTACAGTAGGCTGCACAATGAAAATGAGAAAAATGAGAGAAGTGGGGAGGGGGAGGGGGAGACCAACCTGATCGTTGATATTTTGAATCTTCATGACTAAGGCTGGCACATAGAAGAAACAGATGAGGAGTGCACCCGTAGAGAAGGCACACGCCAGAAGGCCGGCGTTTCGTGCGGAGAACATCTGGAAAGTTTATTAGACTAAAATTCATGTGTACAGACAATAAAGAAATGGTAGATGATTACGGTAACCTCTTTTGACCTGAAAAAAAGTGCTACCTACAAATTTAGTAAAAATCATCTGAATTTCATGCTCACATCATGAGTTTTGGAGGAGAGTATCTAAGTTAGGAGTTTTTGGCGTCTTTCTACATTTGACGAGAATCTTTGAAATGCCGCTGCAGCAAGTTTACTCTAAGCTAACTTCACTTTTCATATAGAAGTTGAATTCCAAGCACTCATGACTAATGTACCGTGTTATTGCTAATGCGCTTACGCATACGTATGGAATGCATAGAATTAGTGATAGGTAACGCAAGACAAGCTTAAGCTTACAGATGAAGAGAAACTTGACAAATTTTTAGCTCAATAAACAGGACCGATGTGACATTTGATAGCCAGCCACGAATCACTAGCTCCTAATTTCAACGGAGGCTATTTGATTGCAGGTAATTGATGTTAAGAAGGCTGGGGCTAGCGTGAGTGGAATTGGGAGTTCGTTAGGTACCACATATTTTGGCTTTAGCTTTAAGTTATTGTTATAATGTGTAAAATGGTTTTTCGTATGGAAAGGCAGTATTTTTGAAAGATAGTTTCTGATCTTTACAACAATAGGCACAGGAACTACACACTTAGTGAGCAATCAGTTAATTAAAGGAAACAGTGAGATTCTGCTAGACTAGGAAATAATTCAAATATACGCATGAAGTTGAGATATCAAAAAATGAAGTTCACAGATAAAAATTTCGAAAATTAAAGCTTGCGCTGATTGTCTCTTTAAGGTTCCCGAGAAGCTTTTGGGCTAAAAACTTGTTTTTTGTACTTTTAAGCGTTTCTTCCCAATGAAGTACGTCGGGTGACCCTTACTTGTCCCGCAGTTGAATACTCGTCTTAAAGGCTATTACTTACGCGCCTTAGAGGTACCTAACATTATGATAAAGCATATAAGATGCTAAACATAACAATTAGCTGTTAGCAGAATTTATTTGAAAAATAATAGTAAAAATCTAATTTTACATCTTATTTGAACAATAAACACAATGTATGTAGATAATTGAGGAAGTGATGATGATGAGCAACTGAAGGTGTGATGTTTCTGATGGTCGGATTTGG